TAAATTTCATTCGGGTGCAGGTTGAATGACCATGCAATTGTAAGGTAAAATAACGACAGCGCCCCCTATACGCAGTTAAATTAGACACTGGTCAGGTGGGAGGGGGAATCCTCTGAAGGGCGCTGGGCGTTATTTAATATATTATTTCTTACATAATTACCACAAATACAACCAAATGAAAGATCTTTGTGTGGGGATAAAATAGGAACTATTAAATGTAATTGGGAGTGGTTTGACTGTGTTGCACGAAACAGCACCCAGAACACGCGCAATTGTCTATTAAAAATAACATGCAGGCTCGCATCGCACGCAAAAAATTAGCCCTGGTCAGGAAGGGGGGGATACTCTGGAGGGCGAAGGGCGTTAATTTGATTAACTTTACTATCATAATAGAAAGCTCTAATCGTGGGGAAAAAAGGAGTACATTTAATTTGGGTGCAGTGTTGCGGCATGATACCGCCGCAATTGTCAGGTAAAAATAACGCTGCGTCTCAGTTGCCCTTTTTGCGAAAAATAAGCCTGGTCGGGAAGGGGGGGGGTGGGGGAATACATCTGGAGGGAGGAGGGGTTAATATTATACATTAATATCATAATAGAAAGCTCTATTCGTGGGGAAAAAAAGGACGTAAAATTTAATTTGGGTGCAGTGTTGCATGACCCGCGCAATTGTATGGTAATATAGCGCATGCGCCCTATCGCGAAAAATAGCCTGGTCGGGAAGGGGGGGGGGCATTCTCTGGAAGGCGAGGGGTTAATAATTAGTACATTACTATTCTTAATTACCACAAATACCACTGAAAGAAAGATCTATTTGTGGGAAAAAAATAAAAGGACAACATAAATTTTAATTTGGGTGCAGTGTTGCTTACGGACGTATCACCGCGCAATTGTCAATTAAAAATAACGCAGGGACCGCATCGCGAAAAATAGCCTGGTCAGGAAGGGGGGGGGAATCCTATGGAGGGAGACGGGGTTAATAATTTACATTACTATTCATATATAGAAGCTCTAAATCGTGGGGGAAAAAAAATGGACGTAAAATTTTATTTTGGAGTGATTGCAGCGTTGCATGACTGACCTGCGCAATTGTCAGGTAAAAGACGCAGCGCCCTATCGCAAAAAATAGCCTGGTCGGGCGAAGGGGGGGGGGGAATCCACTGGGAGGGCGAGGGGGCGTTAAACATTATATATTACTATCATAATTACCACAAATACCACCGAAAGAAAGCTCTGTATTCGTGTTAGGGAAAAAAGGATGCAAATTTCATTCGGGTGCAGCGTTTGCTTACGACCGCGCACATGGTCAGTTAAGTGACACAGCGCCGTTTTCGCGAAAAATGGCCTGGTCAGGAAGGGGGGGGGGGGGCGGAGATAAAGGGAATCCTCTGGAGGGCGAGGGGTTTTAATAATCTTACATTACTATCATAATAGAAAGCTCTAATCGTGGGGGAAATTGGGAAAAAAAAGGACGGTATAATTTAATTTGGGTGCAGCGTTGCATGAAGCAATGCCTGCGCAATTGTCAGGTAAAAGACGCAGCGCCTACTATCGCAAAAAATATAGCCTGCGTCGGGAAGGGGGGGGGAATCCACTGGAGGGCGGAGGGGTTAACATTATATATTAGTATCATAATTACCACAAATACCACCGAAAGAAAGCTCTATTCGTGGGGAAAAAGGATGCAAAATTTCATTCGGGTGCAGCGTTTGCACGACCGCGCAACGGTCAGTTAAAGTGACCACAGCGCCGTTTCGCGAATGGCCTGGTCAGGAAGGGGGGGGGGGATCCTCTGGAGAGCGAGGGGTTAATAATATACATTACTATCATATATTACCACTAGTACAAGAACGTAACCATTTGTATGTTGCAGACCAGGCAGGGGCGGACTGACAACTCATGGGGCCCCCGGGCAATAGGGGATCATGGGGCCCATGTGTCCTTGCCCAAACGCAAAAAAACTATGAAAAAGGAACCAGGGGCATCTCATGGGGCCCCCCTACTGACCCCGGGCCCATCGGCAGTGCCGAGTTTCCAAATGGTCAGTCCGCCCCTGGAGTAGACACGATTGGTGGGACTTCTCCGGAGTCACAGGAAGGGTTAAATCCCGTAAAGTGAGTGCAGATGATCAGGGGCGGGGACTGACAACTCATGGGGCCCCTGAGCAATAGAGAATCACGGGGGCCCCTGTGTCCTCCACCCACACAACCCAAAAAGCCAATGAAAAGGTACCAGGGGCATCTCATGGGGCCCCCAACTGACCCCGGGCCCTCGGGCAGTGCCCGAGTGCTCGAACGGTCAGTCCGCCCCTGTTGTAGACACGATTGGTGGGACATCTCCGGAGGCACAGGAAGGGTTAAATCCCGTAAAGTGAGTGCAGATGAAGCGGGGGGGAGAATAAACGGGGGATATTGACACTCATTTTAAAGAACAAGATTAGAAAATCTCTTATAAATAGTGAATGAGAACAATCGGAAGCCGTAATTATCGGGATGTTTGCTCAGGTTGTTTATTCGGAGACCCAGCTCATTAGTCGGTTATAAATGAAATAAAGATCCTTCCATAGAAGGACGAGGACTTCACTTCATCTTCTGAGGGCTCCCGTCCATCTCCAGGTAATACCATAATAACACTCAGTGCTGAACTCCACCTACAGACATTTATTCATAGATATATTGGGCCAGCGTGGACCAATCTAAGTACACGATATTGCCAAAAGAATTGGGCCCCCGGCCTTTCCACGCACATGACCTTTAATGGCCTCCCAGTCTCAGTCCGTAGGGTTCAATATTGAGTTGGCCCCACCCTTTCCACGCACATGACCTTTAATGGCCTCCCAGTCTCAGTCCGTAGGGTTCAATATTGAGTTGGCCCCGCCCTTTCCACGCACATGACCTTTAATGGCCCCCCAGTCTCAGTCCGTAGGGTTCAATATTGAGTTGGCCCCGCCCTTTCCACGCACATGACCTTTAATGGCCCCCCAGTCTCAGTCCGTAGGGTTCAATATTGAGTTGGCCCCGCCCTTTCCACGCACATGACCTTTAATGGCCTCCCAGTCTCAGTCCGTAGGGTTCAATATTGAGTTGGCCCCGCCCTTTCCACGCACATGAACTTTAATGGCCCCCCCAGTCTTAGTCCGGAGGGTTCAATATTGAGTTGGCCCCGCCCTTACCACGCACATGACCTTTAATGGCCCCCCAGTCCCAGTCCGTAGGGTTCAATATTGAGTTGGCCCCGCCCTTTCCACGCACATGACCTTTAATGGCCCCCCCCAGTCTTAGTCCGTAGGGTTCAATATTGAGTTGGCCCCGCCCTTTCCACGCACATGACCTTTAATGGCCCCCCCCAGTCTTAGTCCGTAGGGTTCAATATTGAGTTGGCTCCGCCCTTTGCAGCTATAACAGCTTCAACTCTTCTGGGAAGGCCGTCCACAAGGTTTAGGAGGGTGTCTATGGGAAGGTTGGACCATTCTTCCAGAAGCACATTTGTGAGGTCAGGCACTGATGTCGGGGGAGGAGGCCTGGCTCACAGTCTCCGCTCTAATTCATCCCAAAGGTGTTCTATGGGGTTGAGGTCAGGACTCTGTGCAGGCCAGTCAAGTTCCTCACCCCAAACTGGCTCCTCCATGTCTTTATGGACCGTGCTTTGTGCACTGGGGGGCAGTCATGTTGGAGCAGGAAGGGGCCATCCCCAAACTCCTCCCACAAAGTTGGGAGAATTAAATTGTCCAAAATGTCGCCTTAACAGTTCCCTTCACTGGAACTAGGGGGCCAAGCCCAACCCCTGAAAAACAACCCCACACCATAATCCCCCCTCCACCAAACTTTACACTTGGCACCAGGGGCAGACTGACAACTCATGGGGCCCCCGGGCAATAGGGGATCATGGGGCCCCTGTGTCCTTCACCCAAAAAAGCCTATGGCCGTATCATACAGGACGAGGAGGACGCCAGAGCTGTAATAATACTTCTCCATAGTCCGATGCAGGAGACTCCAGATCTCAGCACCAGGACAGAGTATATGTACAGATATTCATTGTAGAAATCAATGAGTACCCCTTCATATCATGGTCCCCATCAGAGTCCCCCCTTATATCAGGATCTCTATCAGAGTCCCCCCCCTTATATCAGGGTCCTCATCAGAGTCCCCCCTTATATCATGGTCCCCATCAGAGTCCCCCCTATATATCATGGTCCCCATCAGAGTCCCCCCTTATATCATGGTCCCCCATTAGAGTTCCCCCCCCCCTTATATCATGGTCCCCATTAGAGTTCCCCCCTTATATCATGGTCCCCATCAGAGTCCATCCCCTTATATCATGGTCCCCATCAGAGTCCCCCTTATATCATGGTTGCCATCAGAGTTCTCCTTACATTAGGGTCCTCATCAGAGTCCCCCCTTATTTCATGGTCCCCATCAGAGCACCCCCTTATATATCATGGTCCCCATCAGAGTCCACCCCCTTATATCATGGTCCCCATCAGAGTCCCCCCTTATATCATGGTTGCAATCAGAGTTCTCCTTACATTAGGGTCCTCATCAGAGTCCCCCCTTATATCATGGTTGCCATCAGAGTTCTCTTTACATTAGGGTCCACATCAGAGTCCCCCTTATATCATGGTCCCCATCAGAGTCCACCCCCCTTTATATCATGGTCCCCATCAGAGTCCCCCCTTATATCATGGTCTCTATCAGAGTCCCCCCTTATATCATGGTCCCCATCACAGACCCCCTTATATCATGGTTGCCATCAGAGTTCTCCTTACATTAGAGTCCTCATCAGAGTTCCCCCTTATATCAAGGTCCCCATCAGAGACCCCCTTATATCATGGTTGCCATGAGAGTTCTCTTTACATTAAGGTCCACATCAGAGTTCCCCCTTATGTCATGGTCCCCATCAGATTCCCCCCCTCCTCTGTCTTTTGATCCCCCCCCCCCTCAAAAAACAAGTGTTTGTACTGTACATCACTGTAATGGAGTGTGTTTCACATTCGGCATCAACAGATCCGTGTCTTCCTGCGGCAGGAGCCAACGCCGTTCTATCTTTAGCAGGTATAAATATGCGCATTCCCTGATAAATTAGACATCTGGGATGTGAAGAGGATAGATGGAGCTTTTGTATCTAACCTTCAATGAGGAATCATTAATCAAGTAAATTGCTGTACAGCATAAGGCCTGGCACGGGGAGCGGCAAAAATGGATCTGGTAATATCCAGCATGAAGAACGGAATATCTGCTGGAGGCGAGTCAAGGCGAGCTGAAATATTTCCCGACACTTGATGACCTTCTTGCCGCCTGAAAATCTATCTGATGGAAAAAAAGCGACATTAATAAACAAAAATTGTAATGATGGCGGCGGATCTGTCCGGCTGCTGCTGCTGGATCTGGACATCGGCCAGGAAATCTTCTGCCTTTTGATACATTTTTATGGTAAATGATCTCATTTATAAGGTTTTTGTTTTTTTTAGATTTTTTTTTTATCAACTGAATATCTTAAAAATGCGTAAAGCGGAACTTTGGCCAAACCGCTGAAGACGCATTTTAGAGACGTACGGTGTGAGTGCGCCTCTTTGCTTGGCTTAGTATTTTTTTAACTCTGTTCGGCTGCTTTTGTGGTTTACACACTTCCATCGCCCTGTGAAGGGATACGGTGACACCGGGGGTCTCCGAATAATGGCCCGTGGGCCAGATCTGCCCCGCTGCAAGGATTTACCTGGCCTGAGGCTGGGGTCAGGGGCAAATCTTCAATGTGCAGAGGTTGCGGATTCAGGTCAGCAGAGGTTGTCTGTCTGTTTCTATCTGATGTAAGAGGGACCCTGATGAGGACTCTGATGTAAGGGGGGATTCGGATGTAATGGGTACTCTGATATAGAAGGGACCCTGATGTAAGGGGGACTCCAATGACCTTAATGTAAGGGGGACTCTGATAGGGACCCTGATATAAAGGGGACTCTGATAGGGACCATGAAGCAAGGGGGGGGGGGCTCTGGTGAGGACCCTTATGTAAAATGGGACTCTGATAGGGTCCCTGATATAAGGTGGTAATCTGATGTGGACCCTAATTTAAGGGGGACTCTGACAGGGACCCTGATATAAAGGGGACTCTGATAGGGACCATGAAGCAAGGGGGGGGGGGGCTCTGGTGAGGACCCTTATGTAAAATGGGACTCTGATAGGGTCCCTGATATAAGGTGGAAATCTGATGTGGACCCTAATTTAAGGGGGACTCTGACAGGGACCCTGATGTAATAGGGACTCTGATAGGAACTGTGATGCAAGGAGGGACTCTGGTTAGGACCCTTATGTAAAGGAGGACTCTGATAGGGACCTTAATGTAAGGGCGACTCTGATGACCCTAATGTAAGGGGGACTCTGATAGGGACTCTGATATAAAGGGGACTCTGATAGGGACCTTGATATAAAGGGGACTCTGATAGGGACCCTGCTGTAATGGGGACTCTGATAGGAACCCCGACTCTGGTGAGCACTCTGATGTAAGAGGAGGGGCTCTGTGGGGGACCCTCATGTATGGAGGACTCTAATAGGTACCCTGATGCAAGGGGGGACTCTGGGGAGGACCCTGATATAAAGAAGACTCTGACTGAGACCTTGATGTGTGGGGGAAGGGGCTCTGTTGGGGACCCTTATAAAAAGAGGGATTCTGTTGTAAAGGGGAACTGTAAGGGGAGTTCTAATGTAAGGGGAGACTCTAATGGGGACTGTAATGTAATTAGAACTCTGATGGGGACTGAGAAATAAGGAGGACTCTGATGAGGACCCTAATGTAAGGAGAACTCTGATGGCAACTATGATATAAGGGGGGGACTCTGATGGGGACCATAATATAAGGGCGGACTCTGATGAGGACCCTGATATAAAGGGGGACTCTGATGGGGACCCTGATAAAAGGGGAGACTCTGATGGGGACCCTGATATAAGGGGCAGGGGGGCTCTGATGGGGACTCTGATATAAAGGGGTACTCATTGATTTCTACAATGAATATCTGTACATATACTCTGTCCTGGTCCTGAGGTCTGGAGTCTCCTGCATTGGAGTATGGAGATGTATTATTACAGCGCTGGCCAGGGGTGGACTGACAACTCATGGGGCTCCCGGGCAATAGGGGATCATAGGGCCCCTGTGTCTTTGCCCAAACTCAAAAAAGCCTATGAAAAAGGTACCAGGGACATCTCATGGGGCCCCCTACTGACCCCGGGCCCTCAGGCAGTGCCCGAGTGCTGGAATGGTCAGTCCGCCCCGGCGCTGGCGTCCTCCTTGTCCAGCAGAGGGATGACTGAACTGTCTCTTCTCTCCCAACCAACTCGCCCCCCAGAGGATCCCCCCCCCCCTTCCTGACCAGGCCATTTTTCGTGATATGGCGCTGCGTTACTTTAACTGACAATTGCGCGGTCGTGCAACGCTGCACCCAAATGAAATGATGTCCTTTTTCCCCACAAATAGAACAGAATAGCTTCCTTTCGGTGGTATGTGATCACCTCTGCGGTTTTTTATTTTTTGTGCTGTAAACAAAAAAACACCAACAATTTTGAAAAAAAAAACACAATGTTTTTGACTTTTTGCTATTAAACACGCCCAGTAAAAAAATGTAAAAAATCAAATTTCATCATAAATTTAGGCCAAAATGTATTCCGCTCCGTGTATTCGCTAAAAAAAAATCCCGCTACGTATAAATTAAGTGGTTTCCGTGAAAGTTATAGCGTCTACAAATGGCGGGAAAGATACTGGGATTTTTTTTTTTACTAGTAATGGCGGCGATCAGCGACTTATAGCGGGCATTTTGACACTGGGGGGGGGACTGACTAACTGCCACTGACACCCCCAGTGACACCAATACAGTAATCAGTGCTAGTAAAATGCACTGACACCGTACTAATGGCACTGGGCAGGAAGGGGTTAACATCTGGGGCGATCAAAGGGTTAACTGTGTGCTGTGTGTGTCTTACTAGGGAGACATGCTGTGCAGAGAGATACAAAGCAGCATGTCCTTGCTGGCAGGGGAGAGACCTGTGTTGTTTACAAACCAGGGGCGGACTGACAACTCATGGGGCCCCCGGGCAATAGGGGATCATGGGGCCCCTGTGTCCTTGCCCAAACTCAAAAAAGCCTATAAAAAAGGTACCAGGGGCATCTCATGGGGCCCCCTACTGACCCCAGGCCCCAAATGGTCAGTCCGCCCCTGTTACAGACAGACCTCTCCCCTGCCAGTGTTCCTAGACGACCGCTGGGTGCCGGTAGGGAATCTCTGGCCGGGACCTGGTGATTGACAGCTGTAGCCACCAATGGAGGCGCGGTTAGGGTGGTGTGCGTGTCCCCCTACATGGAAATGCAAATCATGTATATATATGTGATGTAGCGCAGCCCTGCAGCCCTGTAGCAGTAGTTCTGGCAGGGAAGCAATTAACCCCTTGCCTACCGGGTACTGCCCCCCCCCCTTCCTGTCCAGGCCAAATTTCAGCTTTCAACGCTGTCGTACTTTGATTGACAATTGCACGGTCATGCAACACTGTACTCAAATCTAAATTGTTATCTATTTTTTTTCACATAAGTAGAACTTTGTTTTGGAGGCATTTCATCAAGACAAGTGCCCACTATAGAGGGACAGGCCTTGTTCACAATTCATGTCTGAGGTTCACATCCACTTCAATTTTTAATCATTTTTTCCTAAACATTTGCGCTTGATAAACGGCCGGGCAAATTTCACGTGACATCAAATATTTCAACAGCCTCCATTTAATTCCCCAGAGCCTCTGCACTCAGAATATAGGTCATGTTTAACCACTTTTACCCCCTTCCTGCCCAGGCCAATATTCAGCTTTTAGTGTTGAAGCAATTTGAATGACAATTGCGCAGTCATGCAACACTGTACCCATATGAAATGTTTATCATTTAATTTTTTCACAAAAATAGCTTTTTTTGGTGGCATTTAATCAGCACTGAGGTGTTTTTTGTTTTTAGCTACAAAAAAAATTAAAAATACCAAAAAAGTTTGAAAAAAAAGCTTTTCTAAGTTTCTATTATAGAATTTTGTAAACAGGTATTTTTCTTCTTCCCCTGATGTGCTCTGATGAGGCTGCACTGATGGACACTGATAGGCTGCACTGATGGACACTGATAGGCTGCACTGCTGAGGCAGCACTGATGGACACTGATAGGCTGCACTGCTGAGGCAGCACTGATGGACACTGATAGGCTGCACTGATGGGCACTGCTGAGGCAGCGCTGATGGACACTGATAGGCTGCACTGATGGACACTGATAGGCTGCACTGATGGACACTGATAGGCTGCACTGATGGGCACTGCTGAGGCAGCACTGATGGACACTGATAAGGCTGCACTGATGGACACTGCTGAGGCAGCGCTGATGGACACTGATAGGCTGCACTGATGGACACTGATAGGCTGCACTGATGAGGCTGCACTGATGGACACTGATAGGCTGCACTCATGAGGCTGCACTGATGGACACTGATAGGCTGCACTGATGAGGCTGCACTGATGGGCACTGCTGAGGCAGCACTGATGGACACTGATAGGCTACACTCATGAGGCTGCACTGATGGACACTGATAGGCTGCACTGATGGAGGCTGCACTGATGGGCACTGCTGAGGCAGCACTGATGGACACTGATAGGCTGCACTGATGAGGCTGCACTGATGGACACTGATAGGCTGCACTGATGAGGCTGCACTGATGGACACTGATAGGCTGCACTGATGGACACTGATAGGCTGCACTGATGGACACTGATAGGCTGCACTGATGGACACTGCTGAGGCAGCGCTGATGGACACTGATAGGCTGCACTGATGGACACTAATAGGCTGCACTGATGAGACAGCACTGATAGGCACTGCTGAGGTGACGCTGATGGGCTCTGATGGGCACTAATCGGCAGAACTGAAGGGCACTTAATGACAACACTGAAGGGCACTGACAGGCAGCACTGATGGGCACTAATAGGCAGCACTGAAAGGCACTGATAGGTGGCACTGACTGGCAGCACTGATGGACACTGACTGGCAGCACTGAGGGCACTGACTGGCAGCACTGATGGACACTTGGGGCTGCACTGATAAACAGGGCACTGATAATGCTCAGAGCTGGGTGACCACGCTGTAGCTGTCATTTGGCTATAGTGCAGTCTGCAAGTGGTTAAACCCCTTCCCACCCAGCCCCCCTAACAGGACTGGCCAATAACATTGACTGTCGCAGTGGTCGCATGATCAGGAACCGGTCCCCATAAATCCTGCAGCTTGTATAGTTGTGTCCTTGTTCACAAATGTTTGACACAGATCAGCCCCTGCTGCAGCCTCTCAATTCATGACTTGCTGCAAAGTCATAATGAACAATCCCCTGGAGGGGGAGGAGACTGGGGAAATGTGTCATGTTTCACATGATTGTCATATGCCTTTAAGTGTTCTCTATATTTTGTCTCTGCTCCTCCCTTTCCTCTGGTTTAGTTAATGCTGTATAGATAGCCCCACCCCTTTTTCCCAGAAATGCATTTCATGTCTCATGAAGCAGAGCACATTATGATCTTTTGATCTATCAGATGTTCATTGTTGGAAGATTCTCTCAGTTTATGGAATAAACTTCACAAGATCTACAAGATATCATCCGATTGAGTCACTGACTGTGGTATCCAACTGAGATTGGAGTTATCGCTATCTCATCACAACTGTAAGTTACAGAGATCACACTATCAATGCTTAGATTGGAGAGACCGAACAAATGCTTCCTCCAGCCTGCAGCAGATTGATGAGATCCTTTCAGCCTAGGCAAAGTCACTGGATGGGAATTCTACGACTGATTGTTTAACAATAAAAGTTGGAGATTTTCGGAAAAACGAAGTATATTGCGACATCTCAGGAATGTATTCACGCAGATTTGTGAGGGTCTATCCATACGTGTTCATCGGAATTTCACTTTAATGTGAATGACAAATGTAAATAAATCTGAATTTTAAGACGAAGAACGTGCAAAGAAGTCGACCATCGAGAGTTTATTATACAGAAATTGATGTTTTGACGTATCTGTGCTCTGAGACCTTTATTGCTACCAGGTTTGTTGAAAAGGTCACTAAGCTCGATAGATCAACGTCAGCTTCCCTCAGCTCTGCTGCATGGTCGGCGAATTGTTAAATTGTTATTTGTCAGCTGTCTAATGTACTTTCAAAAATTGGAAAAATGCACTTTGGGCACATTTCCTTGAAATGACATGCCAGGATGTAACATTTCTCTGATCCCTTGTATAGGTGGGAAAAAAAAAAAACTGAATATCAACATGTAGATAAGAGCTTGCTGAAGCCTCCTAAGAGAAGTGCTACTTGTCTGTGTGATGTCTGGGGGGCTTGAAGGGTGCAAAAGGGGCGCTAAAGCTCTTCAGTGCTTATTGTGGAGGTGTTGGGCCCCAGCAGCCAGTAGTGGGAGTGAGATCATTGATTTGTAAAGATGTCTTTAACCACGCAAGTAGAAAGTCTCTGACCACCTTCCATACCATGTCCATAGGCCACGTCCATCGGTATTGGGTGCCCCTGACGACGTCAGATGTGACAAAACATGTAGGGTGGAGTTTATGCTTGTGACATCACCACGCTCGTTGTATAAGGAAGCTGTTGGATCGGATCCCGGGACTGGTATGTTGATATTCAAGCGCTTGTTTGTTTTTTACATTGTCCATCGGTATGGGTGCCTCTGATGACATCAGATGTGCCGAAACATGTAGGGTGGAGTTTATGCTTGTGATGTCACCACGTTAGTTGTATAAGGAAGCCGTTGGATCGGATCCCGGGACTGGTATGTTAATGTACAAGCACTTGTTTGTTTTTTACATTGTCCATCGGCATGGGTGCCCCTGATGATGTCAGATGTGACAAAACATGTGGGGCAGAGTTTAGGCTTGTGACGTCACCACACGCTTGTTGTATAAGGAAGCCGTCAGATCAGATCGTGGAACTGATATGTTGAGATTCAGTCGCTTGTTTTTTTTTTTAACATTGTGAGTGGCTAAGTCACATATTTATCATTAAAGCGAAGTTACACTCGCCTGTCAAAAAATAAATGTCAGCAGCTACAAAAACTGTAGCTACTGACTTTTTAAAAAACAGGCACTGCCCTGTCTGTCAGTCCCACGGTGTCCTCATCACAGCCCATTTCACCGGTCGTCCTGTATTCCAGGAGACTGGCAACTTCAGTGTGGGCACCCGGCTGTGATAGCTTGCAACTTCACAGCCGGGTACCCACTGCGC